CTCCTGGGCCGAGCGCTGGGCTGGGGGGGGGGAGATCCGTGAGTGCCCGGCCCCACGGGCAGACGCCCCGCCCGCCCCCCGGCGACCGGCACTCACAGCACTCGATGGGCACCGAGGCGGCCTGGATGGACACCACCTTCCCGTTGCCCTGGGGCACGTGGACCCGAAAGACCAGCCGGACCCGGGTGTTCTTGCGCCCGATGTCGGTCTCGCCCTTCCGCAGCTCGATGTCCGAGTTCCGCAGCTTGAGGATCCCCGCACAGTCAATGCTGGAGGGGGGGACACAAAGCACTCACAGCACTCGATGGGCACCGAGGCGGCCTGGATGGACACCACCTTCCCGTTGCCCTGGGGCACGTGGACCCGAAAGACCAGCCGGACCCGGGTGTTCTTGCGCCCGATGTCGGTCTCGCCCTTCCGCAGCTCGATGTCCGAGTTCCGCAGCTTGAGGATCCCCGCACAGTCAATGCTGGAGGGGGGGACACAAAGAGTTAGGGGGGCCCTGCACAGTGGGGGGCACTTGATACCCTTGGGACCCCCTCATCCCCCCCAGCCTAGGCCGGCAAAACCCGGAGCCGGCTCCCTGTGTTGTCTGGGTTGGACTCCGGCAGGCGGGAGGAGAAAAACCTGGATCGGGATCTGGGAGTGCCCTGGATTGGGGCCTGGGCAGCTCCTAAAGAAGGGGGAGAAAACCTGGAGCCTTATGCTTGAGCTCCCAGGATTGGACTCTGGGGTGCGGCTCCTAAGGAAGGGGGAGAAAACCTGGAGCCGGATCCTGGAGCTCCCAGGAGTGGACTCTAGGGTGCAGCTTCTAAAGGAGATGGGGAAAACCCGGAGCCAGTTTCCTCCACTTCACCCTCTGACCCCCAGGATGGGAGACGGGAAAGACCTGGAAGTGGATCTCTGGGCTCACTGGAATGGGCTCTAGGGGCAGCCTCCCTTGGGTGGTGGGAGAAACCCTGGAGTGGATTCCCCTGGTGTGCAGCCCTTATGCAGATAGGAAGATCTGGAACGGGATTACTTTGTACCCTGGAATGGATCCCAGGAGGCACCTCCCACTTTCTGGATGGTGAGAGGACCTGGGTCTGGATCTCTGTGTCCCCTGGATTGGACTTTGGGATGTCACCGCCCCAGGAATGGGGAGAAGACCCGGAACCGGTTTTGAGCTCCCAGGAGTGGACTCTGGGCGTGCGGCTTCTAAAGAAGAGGGAGACAACCTGGAGCCGGATCCTGGAGCTCCCAGGAGTGGACTCTAGGGTGCAGCTTCTAAAGAAGATGGGGAAAACCCAGAGCCAGTTTCCTCTACTTCACCCTCTGACCCCCAGGATGGGAGACGGGAAAGACCTGGAAGTGGATCTCTGGGCTCACTGGAATGGGCTCTAGGGGCAGCCTCCCTTGGGTGGTGGGAGAAACCCTGGAGTGGATTCCCCTGGTGTGCAGCCCTTATGCAGATAGGAAGATCTGGAACGGGATTACTTTGTACCCTGGAATGGATCCCAGGAGGCACCTCCCACTTTCTGGATGGTGAGAGGACCTGGGTCTGGATCTCTGTGTCCCCTGGATTGGACTTTGGGATGTCACCGCCCCAGGAATGGGGAGAAGACCCGGAACCGGATCCCCTGTGGCCCTGGAATGGACTCCTGGTTGTGGGAAGGGGGAACTGGTGTGGATTCCAGATGCAGTCTGGAACTGGATCCCTGCAGCCCTGGGAACGGGCTCTGGGTGGCGCTGCCCTGGGTTGGGAAAAAAACCCGGATGCGGAAGCCTGCAGTGTTGGGAATGGACTCTTGGGGGGGCGGGCCGGAGGGTTCCCTGGGGTGGGAAGAAAACCTGGACGCAAATCCCTGCAGCCCTGGGAATGGGCTCTGGGTGGTGCTGTTCTTTCTGGGAAGAAAACTCGGATGCAGATCCCTGCTCCCCCTGGAATGGACTCTAGGAGGATTTGATCCAGGAGTGGGATAAACCCAGAAGTGGATCCCTGCAGTCCTGGGAATGGACTCTGGGTGGCGCTATCCAGGATGGGAAGAAAACCCGGATGTGGATTCCTGCAACCCTGGGAACAGACTCTGGGTGGTGCTGTTCTTTCTGGGAAGAAAACTCGGATGCAGATCCCTGCTCCCCCTGGAATGCACTCTGGGTGAACTTGATCCAGGACTGGGAGAAAACCTGGAAGCAGATCCCTGCAGCCCTGGGAATGGACTCTGGGTGGCACTGCCATGGGATGGGAAGAAAACCCGGATATGGATTCCGGCAGCCCTGGGATTGGACTCTGGGTGAATATGATCCAGGAGTGGGAGAAAACCCAGACATGGATCCCTGCAGCTCTGGGAATGGACTCTGGGTGGATTTGATTCAGGAGTAGGAGAAAACCTGGAAGTGGATCCGTGCAGCCCTGGGAATGGGCTCTGGGTGGCGCTGTCCCGGGATGGGAAGAAAACCCGGACGTGGATTCTGGCAGCCCTGGGAATGGACTCTGGGTGGATTTGACATGGGAGGACTCTCTGTGGTGCTGTCCTGGGATGGGAAGAAAACCCGGATGTGGATTCTGGCAGCCCTGGGAATAGACTCTGAGTGGATTTGATTCAGGAGTAGGACAAAACCTGGAAGCGGATCCCTGCAGCCCTGGGAATGGGCTGTGGGTGGCGCTGTCCCGGGATGGGAAGAAAACTCGGAGGCAGATCCCTTCTCCCCCTGGAATGGGCTCTGGGTGAATTTTATCCAGGAGTGGGAGAAAACCTGGAAGTGGATCCCTGCAGCCCTGGGAATGGACTCTGGACGGGTTTGGATCCAGGCGTGGGCGCAACCCGGGGAACTCACTTGGCAGCCATGTTGTTCTCGGGCAGCAGCGACATCTCCAGCACCTTGGTGCTGCTGACGATGGTCTCGTAGCTAGCGGTGGCCACCATCTTGCCGGTGATGCGGTGCACCTGGTAGAAGGCGTGGGGCCGCAGGTTGCGCTCGTCGGCCGTGCCAATGAACATCTGCAGGGTCAGCGGCTTCTCGTCGTAGCCCAGGAGCTAGGAGGCCAAGGGGAGACCGGTCAGGAAACAGCACCCGGATCCGCTCGGCCCTCCATCCCCCAGCTGGGATTTCCCAAGGGCAGGAATGGGGGGAGAGCTGGAAATCCTGGACTGGATCCTCCAATGGGGAAGAGGGAGGGGGCAAGGAACCCCCTCCCCTCCCAGAGTTCCCTCCCAGGAAGGGGACGGGCAGGGAAACCTGGCCTGGATCGACTTCCGAGGGAGACGGCTGTGGATTTGGCTTTCCCAGCTGGACTCCATCCCTGGCAAACGCTCCCTCCTCCCGTGACTCAGTTTCCCTCCCTCAAAGGCGCTCGGGTTCAATGGGGAAGAGGGAGGGGGCAAGGAACCCCCTCCCCTCCCAGAGTTCCCTCCCAGGAAGGGGACGGGCAGGGAAACCTGGCCTGGATCGACTTCCGAGGGAGACGGCTGTGGATTTGGCTTTCCCAGCTGGACTCCATCCCTGGCAAACGCTCCCTCCTCCCGTGACTCAGTTTCCCTCCCTCAAAGGCGCTCGGGTTCTCTCCACGCCCCTTCGCGTGCCTCAGCCCTCCCTTCCCCCGGAGACTGGCCCTCAGCCCGGCCTGGGGGGGGGCGGCGCCAGCGGGTTGGGGGGCTTCCCCCA